AGAACTGAAAAATGCAGTATTTGAAAGTGGCGCCCGAATTGCAGCATGGCGCCAGTTGTCCAAAATCCTACGGTACCAAAGGAGGGGTTTGGAAAAAGGGTGCCAGGCCGAAAACGGGATGCAGCCGAAACAGCAAAAGATAGACCAGGGATCGAGCCCTGGCGAAGTCCGTAACAGCTGGCTACAGCCTCGTGCAGGAGGCAACTAAGGTCCAGGCCCCACGTAAGTGATGTTGTGAGGACAACCTCTCTGTTGACCAAGACAAACCATGACTTCCCCATACATGACCATCTTCTTCCGTTCGAGCATGATCTCATAATGGTCGTCAGTGCTGCATACTGGAGTGCGCCCGCAGGTGTTGCCTCCTTCAGCACGACACGCAACAGTAAATGGGGATTAGAGAATACACGTGCCAACCTAAGAATCGCATGTGCCCACCCTTTTGACGTTTGTCCCCCCCCTGCTTCCATATCCCAGTAGGCATCATATTCCTCACCCTCCTCGTCGCTACTCACATCGCTGCCACTCACTTCCACCTCATAGTTAGGCGCCCTCGCATCTTTTTCATTGTTCCTCACTCTTGTTTCTTCAATGTCATATTCGAAATCAATCGGTAAAGAAGAGTCTTCGAACCCTCGTTCCCGTTGTTGTTCTGTCATTGTCGAGTCATTAAACACATCTTCTTCTTCTACCTCCTGCGTGGACATTGTGTTTATTGGAGAACGCACGATGGAGACTGTTCTCACAATTTCTTCCCCTACTGAAGTATGTCCATCTACTGCATGAAGTGCAACATCTGCTTCCCTAACCACCAACTTCCATCCTTCTTCCCTTGACCTATTTTTTTCCACCTCAGAAGTCGCAATGCTGAGGCGATGCAAAACTGCCATAAATATTTCATCCCACAATGGAGTAGCACATACGACATCCTCGTCCACACTCCGAACCCTGTAGTTAATGAGGTCCTTGCCCGCCAGTGCTTGCTCTGCCACATCATGCAATGCCTCATGTATGACATTCCGATCGTCAGGTTTCTTTTTCATGAAATCCACCAGTTGGTCGAGTAAAACATACTCCACCCCGTTTGCGATAATTACTGGAAGATCTTGGAAGTCTTGCGGGGGAGCTTGCGGTATGTCCTTCAAACGCGATAGTACTAAAATTTATGTTGCACCGCTCTTCATCTCGTCCTAGAATCTTCAACAAGCATTCCCCATTTCTTCGCCTGTGTCATCACTGTCTGCTTGAAATCGGCTGGCATGTATGTTCCCCCCTTCTGCTGCTTTGTCATATCCACATCGCCTTCATCGGACATCCCTTCTGTGCACATCCAACCAACCACTTTTCTCAAACTGTATGCACTGGTATCAGCACTGTTGTCTACACGCAAATCATGTGCCTTAGTGAACCGTGCCAATAGCATCCGTGCTCTGAGCGACTCCTCTCCGTTCGCAGCGATGCTTGCACGAATGTTCACTCTGACATCGAAGTAACTCGGCACTCTCTCCGTAAGTAGTTCAAGCTCCCCGTCGTCATCGTAGTGGATGCCCTCCTCCGCGTATTGCATCACCTCTTGAAGGGTTGCCCTCGCCTGCGTCACTGACATCGACATGATGGTTGTGCTTTTGTCTATGTGTCTATAAGTGGAACGACAAAACGATGATTTCAAGCTCCGTGAGGGTTTGTTTAATGTTGTTTGTGTGTCCCTCTGCTGGAAGTATGCGGTCATTCGACGCTGCCAGTTAGTACACGGACATCATACGAGGGTTGGCTACTGGGTGCCATTTTTTCTTCGAATCAATGACATCGAAATGAATCTGGCACGTAGTAGTCAACTCCTTCGACCCTGCTCTCACTCTCCGCCCAAACCACTTCCTAGTTGTGTCTGA